AATGTCAGTTTGTATTGATTTAAAAATTTATATACAATCAGTAAATTTACTGATTTTTTAGTTTTCGACCTGTGTAAAATGATGATTCAGTAGATTCAATTCTTGAAATTACATGATCCTCGCTTCCGTGAATTTTATTTATACAAAATTTAGTCACATGATCTATAATATTTTGAATTTGAGCATAAGAAAAATTAGAAATCACATTTGCACTATATGAAACAAGTTTTATCTTCTCTACTCCTACTGTGCTAAAAGTGTTCTTATTTTTCTGACTCTAAGAAGTTTTTGGCATAAGTTTACATCTATAATTTCTGGAAGAAGTTGTTTGACTTCATTATATACGGGATCCCTTCGATTCACCGACAATCATTTCACCGAACGATCATTTAGCCGACATCACATAGGGTTAGAGTTAAGCATTTCATTGGTTGCAGGTATATATTTTTACTAAATTTCACCTGGCATGATGTCATCAAAATGAGCTGTCGGTAAAGTGATTGTCGGTGAATCGATACAGACCCATTATATACTATCCCTATTGCTTTTTTCTTACTGACTTTCTTATCAACAGATACCTCATCTATTCTCTTGTTATATTTTTTTGTGGGTCAAGGTCCACTGATCCAGTATTTCTACTTTATACTTCATTATTAATAGTTGTTGAATGCTGTTATATTAACTTTTATTCTACAATAAGATTTTTCTTGAGAGGAGGAATAAGTTCCTCTGAAACAACTCCCTTTAAGATGAGTAATTTTTTGCTGATTATTAAGAATTGGAATGTTTTTTACAGAAAAATATTCTGAGAAATTGTGGGTGCCTCTTGGTCCTTTAGATTCTTCACTGTCTCGTGTTGAAGCTTTTCTTTCTGCTTTCTATATCTTATTCCATCACTAATACTTTTCTTTTGCACCAAGTCTAAGAATTCATCAGTCTTTCTATTCTCTTTGCAAAGTAAAAGACTGGCAGTTATAGTTACTTCTGGTAATGCTTCTGGTTCCACATTCTCTCTGAGGGGCATATGTACATTAAAAACTTCCTCAAAAGGTAAATCATTCTGTGGCTGTCTAAAATCTTGTTCTAGCTTGATAACTCTAGCCTTAAGCTTATTACTCTCAATATCATGCCTAGCATTCTCAGCAACAGTATCTGTCCTATTCTTCTCCAACTCCTCAATTCTGCTTTTAAGTTTGGCTCTTAGCTTTATAATTTCAGCTTTAACCTCAAAGTTCTTAGCTTTAACTTCGGCAAACTTTTTTTTAAGTTCAGAAATCTCAGCATTCTCAGCTATAAGTTCAGTATTTTCAGCTTCAAGGTTTACAATATATTGCTCTAATAATTTAAGATCTGATGTCATGTTAGATATTTTTATATAAGATGTTATTTATTCAATGTTCTGTAAAAATGCTAAAAAATTTGCATGAATAAAATTTATGAAAAAATTTTATTAATACAAAGAAAAAATAAATACAATGTTCAGGACTTGCCCATGATACATGAGAATCCATTTCTATTATGCATGTTTTGTTTTTTTCGATCTATTTAGCTTTTTCTTTGAGAAGAATCATCTTCGCACATGCCCTATTCTTCAATGAACCTACTACAAGTCACTCTCGTTATAGTGAACTCTTGATATAGTGAAGACTAATTAAAATATCGATATAGTGAAGTTAAGCTCGAAGCCAGTTTATATAAAATTCTCTCGATATAGTGAATTTACTAATAAAACTCTCAATATAATAAATTTTTAAAAAATTTTTATTAATGGAACAGATCACTTCACTATAAAGAGAGTGACTTGTACTACACCCAAAACCTTTTTCACGCCATTGCGTAACATTTGAGATCCTACGGATTCTTTATCCAAAGCATCTTCGGAAAATTTAATGCTTAATGGTAATTTACTCATAGGAAGAAGTTCGCTTGATTGGTTAATTTTTATGGATCCACCCGTGATAATCAACCAATCAAATTACATAATCTTTAATAAAAAAATTCGTCGCTTTAATACTGCTAGCAACTTTTTTATAAAGAGATTTATAAATCAATATGTATATAAAAAAAAATAGCTTGTCACAAATATACAGAGGACAAATAGATACACGTAAAACAGGGTAAAAGTAGTATTAATCCCAAACTCATTTATACCCAATCTACAATCTATAAGCCTATTACAGTTAACGAGCCCAAGCACAACGCAAGAACATAACATATTCACGTATTAAACCCAGTTCATCTCTATTAATAAACTTATTCTTATACAAATTCAATATTAGTAACAAAAGTTTATTTAAATCCAAAGTAATAAGGCAGTCTTGAACAAAAACGTTCCAAGTTTGCAGTTACCTTCATTCTCGGTATAACTTGAAGTGGACCAATAAACGGTGGCATATTCTGTCTTCTAAGTAAAGTTTTTCAGTTTTGGGATTATTTTGCATAGTAAACGAAGACGTTTTTCTAAAACTATCAATGGTGTTTGCGGTGAATTTTTATTAGTGAAACATCACGTTCTTAAAAAGTACTTTAAAACGTATAAATAAGTTACCCGGGCAATTGATTTACACTAGCCAATCAGACGAATTTCTTCCTGAGTAATTTACTGCCTTATGAAATCATTCTGGGGCGTAAAAGCAAGAAGTGCTCGTCCTCAAGATAATCTAACCCTATAAAAAATTTTTATCCGAATATTTCCATTATTTCTCCGTGGCCTCCGTAAAAATTCCATGAAAATGATACATTTACGGA